TCCTGTGGATCAAAAATGCTCATCTACTGACGTTAGAATTGAAGAGCCAAGCAAAAAGAAAGGGGTGTTGCTTTGTTTAATTTACAGCAATTAAATAAAATCCAGGATCTAAATGTTCCCTTGGGAAGGTACAGTTGTAACTACATTGTTTACACTTCATTGTAAGCACTGAAAAAGTTATTTGCACTTCTCCAACATTGAGGACTTCGGTTTTTATTCTTAATCTTCCGGCCAGTTATGTTGGAGAGCTTACTAATTTGAAACAATTTAATATGCATGCATTTATGTAAGTAAGGGGCAGTTGTAAGGATAAGAGGAAGAGAGTTAAGCACTGTTTGTTTAATAAAGAGTACATTAGATCGTATCTTGTGTAAAAGTAGAAGACCATACAGCACTGTAGAATAGGATACATAATTTCTTAAAACTTAAAACTTGATTTTGTTTCTGATAATAAACCACAGCAAGGTACATGCATAAAATAACAACAAAATATATTAATTGCCAAATGTTTACTTTAATTAAACCTTTTTAATGATACACAGTACAATGTATCCACTACTTTGCTAAAATTCACAACAAAAAGCAGGTTTCATATGTTTAAAAATATTTTTCATAATAAATTCATAAATAGATGAAGGTAAAGTATAAAAAAACCACTGTAGTATGCAAGCTTGCTCCCTTGTCTCCTCATATTCCAAATGATCTAGTCAGTATTGTGATAAGAAAGTTTAAAAGCAAAGTAGTTACCGATGATTAGAAATGTACAGCCTGCATCTCTTGAAGAAACCTTGAAAAACAGCGACAGATTTGTCCTAGAAAATGCAGAAGAATTTTAACACTGTTATCACCCAAACCCCTCAAATAATTTTGGAATGCAATGAGTGAATTCAATGTGAATTAGAGATTTTTATTTTCTCCCCAGCAGGTGTGTGAGCCAGACTCACTTGAATGCTATCTAGTCTCTGGAGTTGTGGGTTTTATATCTGTCAGGTATCAGTGAGTGAGGCACAAAAGAGGGAAATGCTGGTTGACAGCACTGAGCATATCTGACTACCAAAAATCTTAGCATTTCTCCTTACAGACTTACAAAATAGAAATCTTTAAAAACTGTTACAAATAACTAAATTCACCTTCTGCTCAGTATATGTCTGTATCTACTTTATCTCTGGCAAGCAGGACAGTGTCTGATCTCATCCGTTGGCTTCCACTGGTTTTGAAATGGTATGTGTCCAACACTTAACTCTTATCTGGTGAATCCTTTATATTACACCACCAAACTGTATTAGCAAAGTTATTCTCATCAATATTATCACTGTCTTAAGAAAAGGTATATAGTATTTTATTTTGTCAAGTACCAAACTACTTTCCACGCTTAGAATAATCTATTTTAATACCATTTATAAAGGGAAGAAATGCTTACTTACGCACAGCATTGAAATAGGGAATGAACATGAAAAATACAGAATACTCGGGATGCTCTGCCTTTCACATTAATGTATTTTTTTTTTCCTGATAATTATTTCCCCTTAGTGCAAAACCAGTTCTGTACAAGTTTTGTGCTATTTTGCAATGGTAACTAGATGCTTTTGAAGACATTGGTAGGCATCTGTCTGCAGCTTCAATGTCTCTGAAAATTCAGCTCTTAACTCACTTTTTAAAAGTACCTTCAAATTGTCAAGACAAGTTTGCATGTCGTGTTCAAAGGACAATCTTTCATACCCTTGTTTTCACATACAATAGTTTAGATACCCAGAATCACTCCCTCACATCTTCATATGAGTCTATATTGCTCATAGAATTTATTGCAGAAAAAATGAGTGTTTATCATTGCATGTTCTCCAGCACAGTGCAGTGTAATAGGCTGTTACTTAGCGGTTACCGAAAAGAGTCTGGCTTTTGGAAGTATGTAGATTGTGTTGGTCAGGTGCCTTAAAAAGACAATTTCTAAGGAAATACAGTCTTCCATTTAATGTTTTCCTCTGCTTTTATCTGGAGAAGATAATCTTTGTGTCATAAGGGTTTTTTTGTATTGATTGAACAGTTCGGAATCATAACTGCTAGCTTGCCACAATTTTGGTCGTATGTAAGGTACTTTCTCTAAGCTAAAGTTTACAGAAACTTGGATCCTTTTAGCTAGCTATTACATCTGAATAGTGTGTTCTTTAAGATGTCTGAGTGAGTTTATGGGGGGAATTAAGGTTTAAACTCTTACAGAGTAGTCAGTGATAAGGTATATGTTCTTACGAAAGCTTAAAATAGGTGACTACTGTTCTTATCCTAGTCTAGGCTTTAAAATTTTTTTAATGTTATGACTAAAGGAAAAGAAAATAGTTCACTTGTAGTAATTTAGCTGTAATAGCAAGTTTTGAATGGGCTAGGTAAGCCTTAGACAGTAGTGGCTTAAACAGAAGCAGCTTTGTGAAGCTGCTGTACCTACCTAATACCTTTCCCTGACCTACACTACCTACTTGGATGAATGATCTCAAAGCTGGACTTGATTGATTTCAGAGCACAGTGTATTATATACACACATTACAGATATTAAGTAACTGTCACAGGAGCAGGAGATTGATACGTGTGCAAACCCCTGTTGGTTATAGTCTATCTGGTGGCCCTTCAGCACTTTGTGATAGGAAGATTAATACTCAGTTTTCTGTTAAACTTGAGGTTGAAAGAAAGTAGAAATCAGTGCCAGCAGTTCAGTTGGATAATCAAATTGGAAATAACTCAATTGAAGTCTAAAAATATCTTGCAAAAGAAACATGGAAAGTGACTTTTTTAATGATAAAGAGAGCCTCAATAAATTTTTATCAAGGTATAATCTTGGATCTTCTAAAGGTTTTCAAATGGTGTCCTGGGGGAGAGAGACATACTTCTTACCTCATAATGGAAGGAATAGGTTCTAAATACAGCTTTAAGCCAATTTAACAGCTCTCCAAATGTTAAACTATGCTATTACCATACACTTAACTAATTTAGCAGGCCACTCTTCTTCCGTATAGACAGCAGTCAAATTTCTGTTGTACAAAAAGCAAACAGGAAAACCCATAACTATTTGTGTTGTGTATTATTTTACCTTTGGGAAGGAAAGTATTTTCTTTGAACTGAGTAAGCATTGATTAAACCTAACACATTTAATTGGACTAAAGTGAAAAATCTTCCCTGACTGTTACTTGGGCTTCACTTTTCTCATTCTTGTGAAGTTATTCTGTTCCCTTGTTTTCCACTGGCCGCTGACTCATATGGAAAAACAAGACAATTGTTGACACAGTCCGTCTTCAGTGATGCCTAAAGTTATGAATGTAATACAGGTAACTGCCTTTATCAGTATTCAAGTAATAGAAACCCTTGTTAAAAAAGACCGTGAAAAAAAAATCGCAACCCTTTTGTGCTTCAAAGAAATATTTTTAAAGTGCATTTTAACACCTTTCAGTCATATTAAAAAAATGCTATCTAAGATCAGGATAGGAGAGTACGCTGGCTATTTTTATCTAACCTCTGGGAACAATTCCATGGACAGCAAATATACATTTGGGTTGGTTTGTTTTGATTTTGTAACCCTGCTCTTTTCCAAGTAAACTAAAATGAAATGATAAAAAAGATGCAGAGGGCTAAACTTGTGCTGGAAGTCAGAACATCTAGTTGTGGAATAGTTTGTGTTTTTTTTCTAAACTACGCAGTGGGGATTGCAATTAAATGCTTCCATCTGAGATTTTTTTGCTGCTTCGAATAGCTCTATAACCCAATTCAATAGCGTTAAAAGAAATCTAACATTACCTGGCCAGTAAAAACTAAGATACCCGGGAGGCTTGTTCTCTAACTGAAATCTCAGTGGGATGATCAGCAACAAAAGACACTACAAAAATAAAACTGAGACAGTGTTTCCCAAATCTATGAATCTCGTCTTACAGCATGGAAAAGAATTGTCAAATCTGAGAACAGCCCAATTATAAAGGACTCTGCTGTGTGACTCTGAGATCACTATACTCCATACAAGTGTAATAAAATGTAACTATTAATTTACATTAACAATGTGGCATCTTTTATTGCCAAATTTGTAAATCTAGAATGCCTTTTAGTTGATGAAACAACCTAGTATCATTTGAGAAAGGATAATTAAGTGGTCAGGGTGATTAGCCTAAACTTTGGGATTCATTTCCTTTCAATTGCACCAAGAACTACACGTGTCCTCAGATCTGTTGCTCTTTAATTGCCTCACTTCGTGTACCACAAGGGTGGGAATACAAGCTACGTGGTCCTCATCATCAGCTAGTGGGGCAAAGCAAGTCATGTGAGAACTACTTCTTCACAAAAGAGTACATACTCACTCCAATTCCCTTGGATTCTCCCCATTTACTGGTTGCACACTCTGCCCGTAACCTGCTTTGTTTCTGTGAAGTCTCCGCAGAGAATGACTGACAGGGGTTAAACCGAGCACTCCCCAAGGTTGGTAGATACCAAAAGGAGAGTAACTTTATTTTTCAGTTTCACAAAGCATGTATTGTTCTCACTTCATTTTCCTCCAGCACACTGTTTACCCAAAATCATGCAATAGGGTAAACTTCAGTGGTTTGTTAATATATAAATGTTTTGGAAGCAGGATAGGTAAAGATAAACAACTTCTATTAATGAAATAAGATATAAATTAATCTTGATTTAAAGAGACTCTCATTATAACATTAAACTAATAATGTTATTACCTCCCAGTTCCCTCAGGATTGGCATGAGATGGTAAAAGAAAGACATTCAAATGGTCAACTGGCTGGGACTGTTAGATTAAATAACAGAGGTGTAAATCTTCATGGGAAATTATATACTAGGGCAAATCAAGGAAAGGCTTTAATATTATTTAAGGGTGCTACTGTGTGAGTGTATACATCCTGTAATGTACTACTGCAGTAACACGTATATTGCACGTGATGATCAGCTCTATTCTTCAAATAAATATCTTCTTTAAAGGCAAAGAAAAAACTAAGCAAGAGCTCCACTTTTTTCATGAAGTTCTTAGAAATCTATGCAGTATTAGCTAGGCTTCATTTAGTTTTGTAGTTCCCCCTCCCCCCCCAAAAGTGACCTGCTTTTCAGTACAGTGAGAGTGATAAAATCATTAGGACTTTTCCTCTGTTCTTAAGTATTTTCATTTTTTTAAAATTTTGTTTTGCAAAGTAAATGTTAGCAGGTTTCCGGGCTGACGTTTATTTGGTATTATATTTACATAATTATAAATATTTGTACAAGTTTCATCCATGATGGACTGGATGAGTAACTGGAGATAAAATTAGCTTAAATCAAAATCAATACAAAGGATAACAATGCCCACGCTCCTGGGAACCACATTCTGCTGATGATTTCATTTCAGTATTTGCCTCTGCATTCCACTCCTAAGTGTTACAAGGCAGAGATCAATGTCCCCTTCTGTGTTTTTGTAATATTTTGCACACTTTGGGTACTGCCAAAAATAAATTATAAATACTAATGCAACTAAATGGTCAGCCAAGGAGATCTGCTTAAAAGCAATTACTGCACCATAGTCTTGTTAATGTTCAACTGCCAGTAAACAGGTTTCTTGGCAAATGTTTATGCTGTGAACTCTGATCATGCACTACTGAATTATTCACTTGGTGTACATCAGTGCACATTTGTAACCTAAGATTTGAAACTGAGGTTTTTACCTGTAAATCTCAGGTTTATTGCTACTCACCCTCTTCACCCAGGTATCCTTTTGGTTTCAATAGGATTAATGGAATTAAACCAATAGGACTCTCTTCCTAATACTTGAATTACATAGCTATGTGTGTGAATTACGGATTTAATAAAAGTCTTCAGAAGGGGAGTGAAAAGCTCTAAGTTACATTTACTGTTTAATTTATTTCTGGTCAAAAAGCTGTCAGGCTAGTGAGTATTGTGCTACTACTAATAGACAAAGAAAGGGTTTGGTAATTGAAATAGCCTTTTACTACTGACAGCCCAAGCACTGTCTGTCATATCTGCTACTAACCTGAAAAAATAAACCAGGTCTTCAGTCTATTTCTTTGTTCCCTTTTGTTCAGTTAGGTAGCACATGCAAACTTGTATTACACTTGTTACAACATAGAAGAGCCGAGTTAGAAGACAAAGCTGACTTAAAGCCATAGTCTTTGTTTTCTACAGCAAAATGAAAACTAACCTGAATTGGTGCCTTCATTTGAAAACACGGTGAACAAATCACTGATGCTGTTTCATGTTTTCCTGACTGAAACAGACTAACTTGCAGGCAGAGTCTCAATCTTCAAGACTAGTTTAAGAGATATATGGGGGCAAGTTGTAAGGAAGAGTATAGTGCTTAGTCTAATTCTACTTGTTTACTAAACAAACCTCAAAACTAAGGAAATGGATCAATAATTCCTCGGTTCTCCATCTACTGTAAAAACACAATCATTCACTGACTGCATTGGAAGCAGGATTTATGTTAATTTTGCATCTTGCTCCAGTTTTAACATGAGTTACTATGTAAACTACTGATTTCAATCTGAGTAGTAGCGATACTGTTCTTAAATGCATGTGATTTTTTATCAGCATGGCTTAAATAATTTGGCACTAATCCTGCAAATAGCGGGAGGCTGAGTTTATCTGAGGGTCCCTGTTCAAGCATGCAGAACTGCAGGACTGTGACCTACAGATGTAAACTATAATATGTCATGACAAAGTCAAATGCTTGCTAGTATTCTGTATCTTAAGGACCATCTCACCAGGAGGAAAAGCAGTCATCAGGACTGAGTTTTAGCTTGGACTGTCTTCGTAGCTTCTCCTGAGAGTGGAATACGGGGTTTGCTAATCGCTAACAAATCTAGAGTTCAGACAATTCTCATTTTCGGTGTCTAGCTACTGCTGGACACCTATTGCCTGTTATCTTTGGATGTAGGAGAGCTGGGAATGTCCTGGAAAACTATCCAAAAATACTACTGAGTACTGCAGCTCAACCTGCCCTTCCATATAAAACACTGGAATTATGAAAGCTAGACTAATTGAAAAATTTAAGGCCCTTTCACTCTTACAACTATAAAACTTGAAAACTAACCCCTTAGATTAGAAGCAAACAGGCTACAAAGCATACGTAACTCCTCAATTATCTACCTCGTAGTTTAAAAAACCAGAAAGACCAGAGAATGGTTTAGTATTTTCTGTAGGAAGATGAGTAGTATTGAAATTAGGATCCATTAGCCCTTTCTTAAACCTTCCTGATTTTCATGATACTGGATATGTTGAATGGCTAAAAGCTGGTGTAGCCCTAGTAGCAAACCAGTGCGGGTCCTTTTTGATCAAGATTTTCAAAAGTGACAAGTGACTTCACTTTAAGTGGGTGCTTTCTGAAAATGAGCTCCTTCAAAGTGTCAGGATTGCAAAAATCACTTGAACACCTTTGCTTTAACTGCAGAGTTAAAAATAATCCTGCTTCTGCTCCCTTTGCAAATCCATTTTTGTAAGGTGCTTGAGAGTGTAAACCCAGAGAGGACTGCTGCCATCAGTACTTCAACTGCATCTACAACATATAATACAGAGCTGAATGTGAAAGACAACTGTATGTAGTTGAATTATGAAATATGTAGTTGAATTATGAAATCTGTGTTACTTAACAATGTAGACTTTTGATCAACAGTGAAAGGTTTTCCTGCTGAGTGTTTTCAAGAAATGAAAAGCAATTGGGAACTTCTGATAGAGAGAGGGAAGCAGTTGAGTACAAAGTTGGGAGGGAATCACTTGAAAAGACGCTGGTTTCTTACAACCAAGAAGTGCAATGCATGCAGTTTTCAGCTATTCTGAGGTCTTCTTGCCCATTATATGCCCAGACTGTATTTCAAGAGATGGTTTAAAAAAAAAAAAAAACAAAACACAAACAAAAAACCCAAATCCACTTATGCCACTTAAGCAATAAACACTCTGGTAACATGTCAAATGTATGACCAGAATTAACCCTGTATATGACCATTAGGCACATGGCAGGAGATCATGGCTACCAGTCAGTTCAAGGTTTCTCCAGTTCCTGTTTCCAGTGGTGCAGGTCTTGAGTTACAGAATGAAATAAAGAGACCTGAGGGCAAAAACTCAGTGATACCCACTTGGAAGAGGGAGCTATCACTGTGCAAACAATAACAAGTGAAATGCATCTACCCCCTCCTCAAGGCTGTATTTAAAATAACTACACTGGTCCAATCGTGCTTGACAGCAAGTCGTGATATTGCTCAGGCTGATGTTGCTTTTAAAATGATAACTTAAAAAAATTATAACAAAACCTGAGAGAAGGCTTCCTCACCTGGGCCTGTTCCAATACTAACAAGCAATCCATATGCCTTAGGACAGGTGACTGCTATTTGGTCCTGTAATCAAAACGCTGGGTATTCTGACACTTGAAATACCTTTATCAAAGACACTGTCACTTTCTGGTCATTGGTGGAGTGCTGAGGATTTAAAGAGACACTGTCAAGATTGCTTATTCCAAAAATGACTTCCTTTGCCAACAGTCTGCTAAATGCTTCAGAACTTTGGGTGTGCATCAGTCTCTTCCCCAACCATCTGTCTCCCCACCCCACATTACCAGTTCAAAGTTGTTTCCTCCACTTTTGTAACTTGTATGAAGGTTACAGAAAAGAAAATGGTGGGGACAAATGTTGAGTAAGTTTTTCAGAGGGCTTGACTTTTAGGACTACCTCTCTTGAGTCCCTTTTTAAAAATAAGACACCAAAGCAAACAGGATTGTGTCTAACTTCTACAAAATCGCTGGTTTCACAGGAGGAGGAGAATATGGCTACCGTGCTACTCAGCATTAGGGTGAAGCACCATCTAAATTCCAGTAAAGTTAGGGATATCACCTAGCTCATATCAGCAACCACACCCCCAGCCTTCTACAACGTCTTTGCTGTCAAGCTTGATGCTGTCAGTATTCTTCTCACTGAACATAGGGCCTCCATGCCTCATCATGAGCTCTGTAGCCATCTTCACAAAAGCCTCCTCCACATTGCTGGAGTCTTTCGCAGAGGTCTCTATGGCACAGATGATATTATCATAGTGTTCAGCCAGACTCTGAGCTTCTTCCAGCTGAACCTCTCGAAGGTCACTTAGGTCAGACTTGTTTCCTGGAAGAAAAAGAAACAACAGAGTAATTTATAATGTCTGTTTATGTCAGAGTAAGTATTTAGCAGGAGGTTCTCAGGTTGCCCAGGGAAGCTGCAGAATTTCCATTCTTGGAGATTTTCAAAATCTGACTGAAAAGGCCCTGACCAACCTGACATTATCCTTGCTTTGAGGAGGAGGTTGGACTAGATAATCTCCTAAGCCCCTTCCAACCTGTATTTCTGTATGACTCAGAGAGAGAACAGGAAAAGTCAATAACTGAAGAGTGGTGGCTGTAGACCTTAACAGAAGAAAAATGGGCTAGAAATGAAAGCTAAAACCGTTTTGTGAAAACAACAGCAGTCTGCTGGTTCCTAGGGAAATCTAGAATACTACTGATGTTGTATTAGCAAGTCTACAAGCCTCAAGAGCTGCGTCTGAGTCAGAAACACTGGGACTGGGAAGCAGAACTTCTAGCAGATAACTGACAAACTCTAATTGCCCTGAAGTCCTTCTGAAATCCCCCGTCTGCTGAAGTATGTGAGTGTTCCAGTTCGCCAAAACATGTCGACTTGGTATGATGGAGCTTCTTTGGGCCCTGGAAACCTTATGATCTTTATCACAAGAACAGCTCCACAGCAGCTGTGCCTCAGAACCTAGAAATCTTGGGTACCCAGTTCTCCATTAAGTGAGACGCAAAGGATTCAAAGCTGGCTTCTGATACAAAGCTGGCTACTTCTTAACAGAAGTTAATCAAAGCAAAACATTTCTGTTTTGATGAATCAGCACTTTCTAATTAAAAAAGGGAAAATTTCCAATCAGATCTACTACATACATCTTAACTTCAACCAAAAATAAAACTTCTAACGATCATAAACAAGTATTGCAACTAATTACATTGTACAGTAACTTGTAGCGCTTGGTATTAATATTTTTAACTCACCAATCAGTAATTGTACTATGTTGGAACCGGCATACTTTCTCACATCCTCGATCCAGCGAGGAATGGACAGGAAAGAGCCTCTCTTGCTGATATCATAGGCTAGGATTGCTCCATTGGCGCTGCGGTAATAACTCTGTGTGATAGTTCGGAATCTCTCCTGGCCAGCTGTGTCCCAGATCTGCAACTAAATAAAACAAAGCATACAGTGAGACACTGGCTAGCAAGCTTTCCTGAATCAAAAGATAGGACTTGATTCAATAGCCTTGTTATAAATCTCCCTTATACGTAATACATTCTGGCATCACATTTTTCTAGTCCTTTGTTCATGATTTAAGGTTAACGATATACACTGGAGAGCCTTTTCGCACTTGGCTGCTCAAAGCTTGTATCTCTATCAATTGAGACACTCGGTTCCTGCAGGTGAGCTCTGATGCATCCTTCTGTGGCAGATTATGAAGTTATCACTTTGTATATCCAGCCCTACCCCTCTGTCACCTTCTCTAGCAGAGTTAGCAAAACAAGATGTTAGCCCATAGCCAAGCCACTCCAGTTCATCATCTGGTGTGTCACTGAAACTACAAGTGGGTTTTCACTAGCATATTGTCTGAGGTACTGACATGGTTTTGCCAGTTCTGCTACAGGGGCAGTAACAACTGGACTAGGACGTGGTAGTATCATCCGAGAGCACTGATGCTGTTTTATAAGGAAATATGAGACAATTAAAAGAATATATATAGAATACATAAAACATATAAAAGAATGTATAAAAGAAATGCCAGCAATTCTAGGTTTCAATAAAGTCAGTCAAAGATCTAGTCAGTCTAGTTACCTGTCCTTTTTTAGGTGATAGAACAGACATTACATCTAGGCAGGAAGAAGAAATGCTTAGCTTACATACTTTCGCCTAAATCCAGCAGCATAAGAACTATGAGTTTAGTATCAGGGTTTGAGTTCCCAGTACTAGATGTTCCAGAGGAAGAAGCCAAAGAACTCGGAGTGGACAAACACAATATCCTGCTCAGAGGGAAAACTTCTGTTTTAAATCCTCTTGTTTTATAGGTTGTCTAATGTCCTGGAACATAACAGCTTATATTCCAGGAGCTTTTAATCTAAAGTAAGTGTGGATGCTTTCATTCTCCATATAAATCTCTAATCCTTTTTGAATCTTTCAAAGCTCTTGGCTTCAATATATAGTAGCAATGAAACCAAAGAGTTTCCTTTTATAAATTTTATATTTTCTGTCCTTCTGTTGCACTTTACTTCTCTATCCCCAAATGATAAATGAGAGACTTGTCTTTTTGTGCCATTCCTTATATTCTGCATTTCCTCTTAACTGAGACATGACATAAGTAAATACTCCTGGGTTTTTTAATCTTCCCATATTATGAACCTGTTATTTATTAGTTCCCCTATCTCTGAACCTCTTTCTTTTAAAGAGCTGACAACAACACAATGCACCAGTGATGTTTTATACCAAATAATATGGAATAATTTTTCCATTTATTTCTCTTGCACATTAGTATTTTGTTTGTACCTTCTGACTCTGCTGCATGTTTGAGCAGAAACTCTCACTTTGGAAAAGGCTGTGCTGATCAGATCACTTCCTGTGCTAACCAAGCATTTAGATCCCAAATGATATATGTACAGCTTAAAAGGAATCAATCCAATGAAAAAGTACTTCTCGGTCCTGGTAAGAGTTTTCTCAGAGAAGGGGAAGGGACTGTAATGGACTCAGAAAACCAAAAAGCAATGATTATTAATGGAACAGATAATGATTTAGAGCAGTCAACAGACAATTACTAGAGACAAGGAAGTTTGTGGCAGGTTTATGTATGATGTTCTCTGTACTCAAGTCTCCCACTAGACCTTTGTGTCTGTTACGTAGTTTTAAATGTCAATATTTGATTAGGTCAAGCGCAAAACAAGGCTAATGATGATTACCCAACTCTTGGGAGAAGTCTGAGAGATTCTGTGCATACAGAAGAATTACAAACTCTTTAAATAAAAAAAAAAAAAAATTTGTTTTAGCTTACACTTTTCACATGGTATAAATAAAAGTGTTTTACCTACAGAGTGACTGAGCAAGCCAGTCTTGGACCTATTGCTGTATACTGGATTTTGAAAACTTCTGTATAAGTACATTCCATAGAATCACAGAATCACTGAGGTTGGGACAGATTTTGGGAGGTGACAAAGCCAACTGCCTGCTCAAAGTAGGGTCAAAACTTAATTCTTCCAGGAAGAATTGCTCCATGGTTTTCCCAGGGACCAAAATGAGTCTGATCAGCCTGTAGTTTCCAAGATTTCTTGCCCTTTCTGAAGATGAGTACGATATTTGCCTTTCTCTGGTCCTCCCCAACTTCCACAGCCTTTCAGTAGCGATAGAGCAACCTCAAAACGTCACCAGCAAGATCTCACAGCACCCACACACATTTTTTACTCAAGCATTTATGTCTGTGTGTTCACAGGACTGAATATGTACAAAGTTGCTGAAGCCCGGAGTGTGCTGCTGGGAACAGCACAGACCACAGGTTTGACCTTCTCAGGAGCTCAAACAGCAGTTTTCCTCCCAGCTCACATCCTCCAGGTAGGCTCTTCCCCTCAGGCATTTGAAGTTCGTGCTCCCCTACTTGTCACTCCTCTTTTCTGTAAGGACTCTGATTCATTCAGGTTTTTTACATGATCTTCAGTTTGTTGTGGTTTTGCTTTCATTGCTGAGACTACAGTATGTATTAGACCCATAAGCAGATACTTTCTTTGCAAACATATAAACCCACTGACACACCTGTTTGTCATTGTTCCCATCACTTCTGCTGGCAGAAGGAGCCAGGTGAGTGCTTGCTCTTTGTTTCAGGGAAAGTCAGTCAAATAAGGGCATGGTTTAATGACTTGCTTAAGCCAAACTAAGACAATACTGCCATTGAAGACTTGCCATCCCAGCTGCATATCCTTGCCCTCTCCCTGCATTGAAACTAGCACCTGTTAATTTGATTCACTGTATGGCTTAATTCACTGATGTAACTGAAAAATAGGTGTTTTCCTTTTCTTTGAAGGGTTAACACTAATTATGCAGCCACAAGGTACTGAAAGCATGCAGATTGCATAGGGAGGAAGGTGCAGCGATGCTTTAGAGCAGTGGCAAAGTTGTCTTGAACCAATCATGAATATGCCCCTTCCGTTTAACTTGTTGCTGAAGGTGGGTGTGAACCGATCCAATAAATTAACCTGAAGCTTAGTAAGGAGTCCTTGTTCAGTCTCCTCTGGCAGACCTGTGCAGAGATGGTAGCTTTGGCTAGTATGAATCAGTCTGCCTTGCAGCGTGCTCAGTGTGCAAAGGCACTTTTTGGGGGGCTAATAACAACTCCTTACAATTTGGAAGCTTGAAAATCTGTCCTGTCGCATTGTTTGAAGTTTTAATAACTGTCTTATTTTAAATTGTTAAGAACACACGCTACAGAGACACACAGAGTACGCAAGTATTATGAACCAGATTACCTAACTTAAAGCAAGATCTATTCCTAAAGGTAAAATATAGCTAATTTGCTTGACAGCATCTTTAGAAAAATTTAAGAAAAATATTTCTGTATAGCATGAATCAGTCTGATACATGATTAAAAAAATAATTTAAGTCATCACAAAAATACCAGTTCTGATCCTAAGTAAACACTATTTTCTCCAGTAGGTGTACAGATATGCATTTCAGACAATTCTACTAAAAGAGAAATATGACAACTATATATAAATACCAATCACAACTATAATTTAAAACCACCATTTTATAGTAAAAATTGTATATGGTCTCTCTGTTAAACTGTATTTACAAGTATGTAACTCTTGACAAGAAATAACAATTGCAAATTCTTTGGAAAAAAAATTAGTCTTAGTATTTCTCATTTAGAAGCCCCTCAATATAAGTTAGATGTTAAAATCAAAATACCAAATGAACTGTCCTGGCCACAGGTCACAAAAAAAGATACGATCATACATGCTTTTGTATTGTATAAGTGTATCACATATGCATGATATGTTCTTATTTATTTATTTCCTCGATTTAAGTGCTTCAGCTTTGTAAATAATGTGATGGAAGCCATGTCTGTCACTTAGTAACCTTTTTAAGCAACTTCTGATTTTGTAATTACTTTGGCAACAATTTTGGTGTAAAAAAGACAGAAGTTGGGATTGCTGGAGAATTGTGTTAAATTCATCTGCAGATACTAAGAAAAAACACCTATGAAATAAGAGATTGGTAGCAGGCCTTTGGGGGGGCATCTCTAGTAACAAATGAGGACAGGATAAAGAACAGAGAATAAATACACATTGTTCAGAAGAAATATGACAGAATAACCTAAGTGAACAAAGACAAGGAGCCGCCTTTCTTGTGCTAATTGCTTCACCATTGAATGACCATTTACTTACAAAAGCTGGTTATTTTGATCTGCTTTTAGCTTTGAATTTTTTGGACAGCAGACCCCTTAGCACTAGCTGGTACTGAATAGCGAAGCGCTAAACCGACTATTAACTCCTGTAAGATTTTTCATGACTCGATATAATCACCGTAGAATTGGAGCTTTCCATAAGTACATTAGACAAAGTCTTGAACATCTTCTCCTATTTGCTTTTTCATCTTTTTCTGTTGGGAAGGAGTATACAGGGAGTATATGTCATTCACCCCTTGCAAGGATGCAGGCTGGGGTCTGACTGGCTGGGGAGCAGCTGTGCTGAAAAGGCCCTGGAGCCAGCAGTGGGTCCTGGCAGCATCCTGAGCTGTATTGACAGGAGTGAAGCCAGTAGATCAAGGGAGGTGATTATTCCCCTTTATCTGGCACTTACTAGATTCCAACTAAAATACAGTGTCCAGTTTTGGGCCCCCTGTACAAGAAAGACATTGAAGAACTGGAGCAAGTTCAGTGGAGGGCCATCCAGATGGTCAGGTAATTGGAGTACATACCCTGTGAGAAGTACACACCCTGAGGGAAACAGGTTTATCAGCATGGGAGAAGGATTTGAGATGACCTGTTAGCTGCTGTTCAGTACCCATGAGGAGGTTATCAAGAAGACTGAGCCGGGCTTTTCACAGTGGCACATGATGGGAAGATGAGACACACCAGAGAAAAATTGAAAGAAGGAATGTTTCAACTTGATGTAAGGAGGAAAACAGGAGGTGGTAAAATTTATGGTGGGTCTCTGGAAGATTGTTCTGGTATGTCTGATTAGGCTTAAAGAAAGCAGAGTTTCAACTATAGACATAGACAAAGTGTTGAAAATGGTGAGTCACAGGCTGACCAAAGAGCATAGTAAACGAGTGTTATCAAATGGTTTGATGTGGATTCTTCTTGCATTGATAAACATATTGTTTATCAAAGGTTAATGCTTAACAAATGGCCTCAAGACACGTTAAATAATTTCTCCCTCCCTTACTTCCTACGTAATTATCGAGCACTTTCCTGATTCTTCTAAAGTATCACGGGAGTTCACATTTACTTTTGCTTGAGAAGCAGCATTAATAATAACTAAGTACATCCTATAGCTGATACCTTCTTTACAAAGATAGAAATGTCACTTTTGTGCTATGAATTCTTCAAAATATAGCCATTTCCATAAAATTTCCCGGTAGTGAAATGGTGGATGCAAAGACCGTGCTAAATGATTCTTAACCAACTGTGTCTAAATCCGTCATCTCAAATGGCAAACAATAATATACATTTCTGTACACTGGCAAATCACAACACTTGCTCCTAAAAAGACTTACTGAAACAATCTGGCAACTTAATCTATACAGTTTTTGCCAAAAGCAACAAAACTAACATCTGTATGGCAATGTATTTCAATTTAAAGTGATACTCATACACAGAACAGTTAGGATAAACTGCTCCATTCAACTGTTTCTCTACAAAATTTTCAGAGAATGAGGAATCCCTGTTTGCTGGGAATGCAGCATTCCTGTTTGCTCTAGCATTACGAGTGTCAGTTGACAGAGAAGAGCGCGACACTTTCCTCTGAATATCACAGAATATTGCTTCCATGTAATAACCAATAGCTTCATTTGTATTTGTTTAGCCACGTTATTAAATACAACAGTCAGAAGACAAGACAGTTAACAAGTCATAATTTTCTATTACTTGCAATTTGGCCAGATGACACATTACATTTTGGGCCATTCTGAAAGGAATATAGTTACAGTCATGAGGCCTGAATAAAAGCCAAGAATCTTGATATCATATGGGCTGAAAAAGCTTGTAAATTAAGAAGTGCAATGATACATAAAGAAGTATTTGTTATAAAAGGAATGTTTGTTTTCAAGTGTTCTTCTCTCCTGCTGCTTTCTGAAAGATATAGTAAGAGAGAGAAAAACTATGGCATAAAGGAAAAAAATATTCAGTATATGTAAAACACTGTGAAATGACAGCATAAAGTAGACATTAAAGATACCCAATTAACTTATCAGTTCACAGGAGGAAATTAATCAAAAGAAAAGGAATTTTGTTATTACTAACCACGATTCATGGACTTGGACTTAGGAATGTCCTTGCCTATCATTATATAAAATCTTCG